GGGTCTCTGCGCCGGGGCTCGCCGTTAGTTTGCTGTGAAGGTGTGTGTTTCGGGTGGAAGCGTATTTGGAAACAGGTTCAGGCGGTTCGCAGGTAGTTACGGAAGCGTAAAAATAAACTGAGAGGAAAAAAGAGCATCGGCTTGTGCAGTGCTTCTCTGAAAAGTCAGCTGTGGCGAAAGACTCAAAGGAAGAGTTGGGAGTAATTTGGACTTGCTGCCCAGAGAAACTATTTTGTTAATGAATATTGTAAATTAGTAGCTCTTAAGGCTAATGCAATAAAAAATAGCATATTAAGGTATTAGGAAAAAAACGTGCAAACTTAAGATTGGTAAGTCATTGTATAATGATGGAGATTGAAACATCCATTACCTGATGTTTCCTTTAAGGCTAAAACCATTTTAAGTTGTAGCATACTTTTGAAGTTGTAGAAAAGCTCTTCCTGGGCAGGTGTAGAAAGAAAGTAATCGCGCTAAAAATACCATTTGTGTGAGAAGGTGTGACGGAATATTAATCTAGCAAAATACAGTGGTTTAGTGACTTTTTTTTCATGTGGCGCTGCTACTGCATACTGCTTCAGCAGCCAGTATTACTGTTACCATTGTCTTTTTGAGACTATCTTTAGGAATCTGTTTTGAAATCTATTTTAATGTTGCTTATGAAGGTGTCAAAAGTAGGAGAGAAGTGAAATGTTAATACATCTTTTCACTGTACTCAAAAAGCATTGGTAAAGGTATATAATGCTGAGTGTGCGTTAAGTAGTATGTTTGCAATGGCATGTTCTGTCAAGAGTTTAGGTGTCAATTTTCAGTAAATGTGTACAAACTATAGTAGGGAACAGATTTTTAACAATGTTTTTTCCTTGAATTTTTGACAGGTCCATGTTAAAATTAGCACAAATAGTGGGTTTTTTTTCTATTTGGGAAAATTCGTTGAAATGTTCCTGGCAACAGTTAAACGGTTTGGTGCTACTTCAGTGCATGTGTGTTTAATCCTTTTTCTTATGTTTTCAGGACGAGGATTTGCGTTTCAGAGAAAGCTAAAGGTTGAAAGACAGTACAGGAAATTATTGAAAAAGGGAAGAAAGGTCAATTCGCAACAGGATGATCAGTTTACCGATACTTATCCAGAGCACTTGAAACATCTTTACCTGGCCGAGGAAGAAATGCTTAAGAAACGGCGCAGGGCTCCAGATGATTCGGTTTTATCAGAAGAAAAACTTAGTAAAGCAGTAGAGTAAGTTTTTGAAATGTCTTTAAAAAAAAGTAATTGTTTCCATCATTGAAGAAATATTTTAAATCTTATACTTTAACATGGAATTCAGTGTGGCAATATGCTGTAGCAAAAAAATGCCATTAGGTCTTAAACGTTTTTCCTGATAGAAAATTTAAACATACAGTTTTGTTGTGTTTGCATCGGAATCAGAAAGCAAAACTGATGATGTTTAGGGCTTGATTCCACAGACATAGTATGACAGTTACCATTGTACCTAAAGGATAGGGTTCAGCCCAAGAACAGTCAGTCTTTGGCCGATTTGTTACCGAATCTATGAAGAGAAGAGCCTGCTTTTTAGGTGTGTGGTTTCGAGTCTGGAGTTTTCCTTTGAACTGATTCTCAGTATTTTAACATTAATACCACTTTTCAGAAATATTTTTTTGCATTATCTTTCTGTTCCCAATTTGATAAGTTGTCTCCTTCATACCGTACTGTTTTTCTGCTAGAATGAGCAATATTGTGTGCAGTTCTTTTGTGGTATGGCTAGTTTGGGGGGGGATTTTAGCTACAAACTTAAAAAAAAAAAGAGGGAAATGGAGGATTTAGTAAAACCTTAAGACAGTGAAGTGTTCTTGATCAAAGTAGTAATTTTAAGTAATAGAGATACTAGTTATAATAACAGTTATAATAGTTTGCCAGGGGTGTTTGGATTTGGGGGGGGGGGGTTTTTTTGTTTTAAATTTAATTAAAATAACTGGGAGAAGTCAAATGGAGTTTCTCACTTGTGGTCTAACAAATACCAGACAACTTAAACCATTTTTTTCCATGTGTGACAGTATTTCCCCCTGAAATCTTGGTTAGGTATGTCAGTAAAATGAAAAGCATGGTCACTCAGGTCTAACACTGTCATGGCAGCGTTTTTAAAACAGCATTCAAGTACAGTAATTGAGGTAATGCCCTTTTGTCCTCAGTACAAGGAGTGCCATAAGTCTTTGAATTCCAGGGTGTATCTACATCTAAACTTTCCTGGGAAGAATGCTCGGTAGCAAGGGGAAAGGCAGGCAGATCTAAGCCCAGCAGTGGGAGAAAGGTAGAGTTTTTCCTGGAATAGGCAGCTAGTTTGTGAGGATATCTGAAATAGGACTGATGTTTTTCTTTAAATCAGAGTGTTTTTAAATTTTGCTTAAACTGTGATCACTGTGATTGTAAACTGAATTTAATAATTCTGAAAAAATGTGATTGCTAGTCTGTGAGGTGGTGTGGTGCGTAAAGTCTGTTAGAGTTCAGTGTTCTATTGGAATGTAAAATAAGGCTTTGGTTAGGTAATTCCATTTGTAGCATATACTGCAAAATACATAGTTTTGTGTTTGAGATGATGAGGTGTCATTACACAGTATTGCCACAATATCATCTCTTTCATTTTTGATTGTCTGGAATCTCCTAGATGATGACAGCTAGTTTTCAACTTTTTGTAGTGCGAGTAATAAAGTAATCAAAACCTTATTTTGTGAACAGTTGTTAGATATTTGACAAGGCTTATATTTTTCAAGTGTGAAATGTCTTTGCTGCCACACTGTTTATGTGATGGTTTTATTGTGAATCAGAAAAAAAATAGTTTAGAACTAAATAACCAGAAAAATTCACTCAAAGTAGTATGACAGTAAATGCCGGGCAAATGGCGCTGGTTTTCTTGTACTGTTTTCTTTGGTGAAAGATACCTGGGCAGTGTTTTTTATATTGAAATTTGGAAGGAATATAATTTCAGTTCCTATTTCCAGAACATTAAGGAAAATAATACGTACCATTTCAGTTCCTAATTCCAGAAGATGAAGGGCAATAATATGCCATCTCCTTTAGGAAGAAACTTTTAGAAAGGTGTTGTTACTACTGTGCTTTTGCACCTTGCCATGTCAGTCTGACTTCTCTGTCAGGCAGTCTGCCAGCAGCTGGCTGTACGCATATCTCTGCAGTTGCATCTATATGTCAGAAGTAGAAAGAGATAATACAGCTCTAAGCTAGCACATTTGTTTTTTCTAGCTCTGAAGATCTCGCACGATGGGGAAACCCCCCCCATCTTTTAGGCACTTTTCAATCTTTTTGAAACATCATCCGTGTGCAGATAAAGAAGGTATAGGTGTTACTAAAGTTGCGTGCAACCTTCGGTATACTCTGCATTGGAGGAGTTTATCTTTCTGTGTTTCCATGCTAGCTGCTCATTGCATTACACGTAATGATTCTGGGTATCATGTAAGTGTGGTGCAAAGAGGATGAGCCTTCTGAAATCTATTTCTAATTAACTTTCCCAAATATGAAAAGGACAGTGGGAGAGTGGAAGACTATGCTCTGATTCTGCAGCGGCTGTGGGATACGTGGTTATGTCTGGTGGGTGACAGTCCATATCTGAAGTACATGTACTTTTTCTTACAGGCCAGTTATGACTGAAGGGAAGTTTAAGAAGAAAACATCCAATCAGAAGGCAAAAGAAGAGTATGAAAAAATAAAGGCTGAGCATGCTAGAAAGAAAGAGGTAACTCTTAAACAGAGATCTTTCTTGGTTGTAGGCAAAGACTAGATTAATACCATTTCCACCCATCAGTGTTCCATCTGGATCCCCATAGGACCATAGGAGAGGAACACGGGTATTGATATTCTTTCAGTCTTTTTCGACTTGACTAATATTCAGGCATGCAGGTGTTCAGTGTTGTCATTCTCTTTGTTACTGTTTTTGTCTTGCAGTTGCCATTAGCAGGATTTTATTATGTCAGTTGGTACATCAAGAAAAACTTAGAGCTTGATCTGCATATTCCAGTGGAATATACTAACCTCTTAAATATTGTAGAAGGGAAAGTAGTAACAGTGCCATCATCTTGTGATGAGAAATTAAATACCCATCGTATTTCTTATGGTGTTACCACATTTCAGTCTTCATTTTACCTTTTTATGTGCTTTGACTAACAGTTAAACAGTTAAATGTAATAGTTTCCATGCCTAAAATATTGAGCAGTTTTTTCCCTTTCTAATTTAATGGCACTTATTCTTACAGGGCGTATCTTAGTATTATCATTGCTGAATAACTCAATTGAGTTACTCGTTTGAGACATCCTTATTCAACTAGTTTTGTTCTCTCCCAGTACACTGTTGATTGCACTGTAATATGGCACACATTGTAACACTGTAGAAGTTGTGTAACTTGCTGCTGACAAAACTAAATTTCAGTAACTACTGTATAAATATTACATAAATATATAGCTGGATAAAACATTATTTCTTCAGTTTAGCTGTTTTGAAAACTAGAGTAGTTTTATGCAAGCTGATCTGTGATTCTGGGCGAGTTACATGATTGTTCAGCTGCGAGCTTTTTTGAATATTAGATACAGATCATGCTAGAAGAAATGAATGCTATGACCAGCTTATTTAGAGGAGATAGGAGCAAACAAAAACACAGCAAATCTGCAAGGAATTTTCTTTGAGCAGCACACAAGAGTTGCGTGAGGGGAGGTGTTAGCATTTCTGGTCTTCTTCAAGATATTTAGGCAAAACAAATAGTGGCTAAGTGCCACATTAACAGTAATCGTTTGTGTGGAATGTTGGTGTGATGATCACATATTTTACCCTCACGAACAGCGGATTTGCTGTTACTTATTTCGGGAAAAGGAGTAAGCTTAAAGGCACAGTTTTGGCCTGCACTCTGTAGAGAAAAGGTAGCGATTAGCAGAGATCAGAAAAAAAACAAATATAAGTAACAGATACCTAAGATGAATGTTCTTGGTTTGAGTAAGCATTTGGTTGGTAGCTTAAATGGATGTTGTTTACAACAGTATGCTGAACAGCAGTAAAATTATTAGATAGGAAGTGAATTACAGGTTAGAGTTGATGCTACTCTGGTTTAGAGAAAAAAAAGCAATGAATTATATCTATCATTGTTACTGTAAAATACTTGAATCATTCTGAATGGAGAGATGGTATATTTGCAGGTTTTGGAGGGTTTTTTTTCCCCCAGAAGCCTCTTAGATTTCTATTTAGAAATATTTTCTTGGGCTATTTCCAGTCGATTTTACATTCTATATCACAGAGTATTTTTTCATACTGATTTTTGTACATGACAGAAGCTGGCTGTGACATGGAAAACAAAAATATAATTGATAAATTACCATCTGTTTGAGCATTCTACAGAAACAACTGCTTTTGTGGTCAGCACTACATTACAAACAATAAGCTTTATGAGAAGAAATCGCCCAAATGAACTGAAGCAGTCCTTCAGTCTGATTGGTGATGTCTTGCGTATTTTGGTGGGATGTGATATAAGTGATAAGCAAGCTCGTTAGCTTGTTTGCTGTGGAGCTTTGCCCACATTACTTACTAAAATTACAACACTAGAGAATGGGGTGTAAGCTGTTTTGTAAAAACTGAATGTACTATCATGATAATTATTCATGTAGTTTAAATGCCTCCATTAGTGTTTGGCTGCATGTGCTGTCCCCTCAACACAGAAAGTTTGTACAGCTGAAAATTTGGTTAGGGGTTCTCCCCCTGCCCCACCCCCCCAGTAAAGACAGCAGTCTGTGTTGCTTTGAAAAGGGCGAGTCACTAGTAGTTTTGTCGTAAGTTGCCCAAGGTAGTGCTGCTTGTACTGTTGTCCCAGTGTCGCAAACCTGCCCAACTTCCAGCTCCAGATATGTCCATATCCTATGTGCCAGTCCCATGCAGATGTGTCCAGTATGCTAGCACATCTGTACTGGCGAGACGTATACATGGGGGCTGCTGGATCAGTCTTTCTTTCTTGCACTCAAGAGGGGAAGGTGGGATATTTTTGCCATTTTGTCATTTAAGGAGGAAAATCAAGGAGCTCATTTTGCAGAAACAAAGTAGTATGTGTTTGAGTGACAAACCTATCGTGGGATGTTCTACTGAAGAAAACTCGGCGCTTCTCTTGAAGCTTTAGGCAATATAATCTGTTTTGATTGCAGTATGCACTGAAGGAGCATCCCAATTAAGCTTTTAAGAGTAACAGCATTTCTAGTGTCAGTACAATGCTTAATTGCCAGTATCTTTACAAAGAGAAATTTTATTGCTTATAGGTAGGTTCATGGTTACAGAAGGTATATAATTATTTCATAATTATATCTATTTAATTTCAGGAAGCAGAAAAAAGAAGACAACAAAGAGAAGCAGCTCAACGGTTGTACAAGCAAAAAAAAATGGAAGCTTATAAAATACTGTGTAAGAAGACAAAAAGAGGACAGCCAAATCTAAACTTACAAATGGAGTTTCTTCTTCAGAAAATACAGCAGAATACGTAAACCTCTGCATACATCTTAATTGTGTGTTTTGAGTTACCTATGGACAGTTTATTAAATTACTTTTAATAAATAGTATCTTTTTGCTTCTGTGTGACTTTTGTCATTGGCTTGATTTATCTCATCAGTCCAATAGTGGAGGATGTTCGTCGTGGAAATATATATTCAGTGCTGAGAGTGAGAGAGATCTGGTACCTTGAAAATGAATGGTCTGTATTTCTAAACTTAATTCCTGTTAGCTACGTAATACCCTGAATTCCAAATCATTAGAGCCTACTACCATCTGAACATGAATCTGCATAGTGTAAAGCTTTTATTTTCTAGCTCTGACACTTCCTGCAATTTTGACTACTAAAATTATGCTTACTTGAGAGGAGTGAAATGATACCTGCGGCGTAACTGATGTCTCTCAAACTGCCAAGGTTAGGAGTGTGTCTTAGGTGCTGTCGGATAGGGTTAGGTACATGAAAACAAAGAATAAAACTGTGCTTGGATGGATATGATATATCATTCTCCACAAAGAATAAAACTTACCAAAGGTCCGAAAATGGTTTGAATGTAAAGATCTTGTAGACTTAACATATACTTTGTGCTTGGTGATTTGTACTTTGGTGATTTGTTTTGTTCATAAACTGAAGTATGACTCTTTAGCTACGATGGATCAGGTAGATGGGTTGAGATTTTCGTATGCTGAGTATATCAAGTTTCTAATCTGTGTTCTTTGGAACATCTTTAGAAAAAAAATTCTTTTAAACCTTGATTTGAAGAGGCAGTTAGTGATCTTTGGCCTAATAAAGCGTTCTTAGTAAGCTATTTTTCTTAAGTTTATGCAGGAGAATACTATTGTAGTTTTGCCTTTATTTCTGTCTAATTTGGCAGTCAAGAAGCAATACTGAGGTTTTTTCTGTATGTAATAAAGACTGGTTAGACACTGAAGTAAGGAATGTCTTGGAAGAGATTTCTCAGGACATGCTCCATAAGATTTTTCAATAGATTTACAGTATGATAGTGTTAAATTATCTCATTTAGAAGTTGATGTCAACAGCAAAAAAATTGTTATTTAAAATACATGTGAAAAATAGTTTTGAATTGTGTGACAAGTGCTGTTAAATGAGGAATAGCTCAGGGGTTTGAGTTGTCTATAATGTTTCTTGTGTCAGTATCCTGAGGCTTTTTCCACCTGAGCTTGTTACACCTTTTGCAAGGCTTTGAATCCTTGTGCTGTGGTGTTGTTTAGGAGCAGCTGCACACAAGTCGTAAGGCAGTGCACCAGCAGAAAATGTGTGGAGCAGCTTATCCTGGAGGTCCTCATCAAGCAAGTGGAGGAAAAGAAGGTTATCAGGAGTAGTCAGCATGGATTCACCAAGGAGAAATCATGCTTGACCAATCTGATAGCTTTCTACAATGGTGTGACTGGCTGGGTAGATGAGGGGAGAGCTGTGGATGTTGTCTACCTCGACTTCAACAAGGCTTTCGACACTGTCTCCCATAATACCCTCCTAGGGAAGCTCAGGAAGTGTGGGCTGGATGAGTGCTCGGCTCGGTGGATTGAGAACTGGCTGAATGGCAGAGCTCAGAGGGTTGTCATCAGCAGCACTGAGTCTAGTTGGAGGCTGGTAACTAGTGGTGTTCCTCAGGGGTCAGTGCTGGGCCCAGCCTTGTTTAACTTCATCAGTGACCTGGATGAAGAGTTAGAATGTACCCTCAGCAATTTTGCTGATGACACCAAACTGGGAGGTGTGGTAGATACACTGCAAGGCTGTGCTGCCTTCAGCGTGACCTGGATAGGCTGGAAAGTTGGGCAGAGAGGAACCTCATGAGGTTCAACAAGTGCAAGTGCAGGGTCCTGCACCTGAGGGGGAACAACCCCATGCATCAGTACAGGCTCGGGGCGGACCTGCTGGAGAGCAGCTGTGCGGAGAGGGACCCGGGTGTCCTGGTGGACGACAGGTTAACCATGAGCCAGCAGTGTGCCCTGGCTGCCAAGAAGGCCAATGGCATCCTGGGGTGCATTAGGAGGAGTGTAGCCAGCAGGTCGAGGGAGGTTCTTCTTCCCCTCTACGCTGCCCTAGTGAGGCCCCATCTGGA